ATCTCTGGCGTCCCCTACTGGCAGCTCTGCGTCAAAAATCCAATCGCTCGGTCCGCGTGGCCAACCCAGAGGGCCTGAACACAGGCGGCCGCTCTCGGTGGCAGGGAGGTAGTGCAGAGGCCAGCCAGGGCGCAGGCCCGGCTTGTGATGCTTACCTGGGTTCCTGATCGGTGTCACTCCCTCCCCCGTCCGCTCACATCTGGGAGAACCTCTTTAAAAGCAAGTAATGAGCTATTGATACCCGCAACGACTTGAATGGAACTTAAGGGTATTATGCTGAGTGCAGAAAGCCAATCTCAAAAGGTACATATTTTATGTCTCCATCTATACAACAGTCTCAAATTCTTGTCAGAGAAGACAAGGCTGTCAGGCCTTAGGGAAGGGGAAAGAGTGTGGCTACAAAGGGGTTTCTTTGAAGGTGGTAGAACAATTCTCTATCTTAATTGTGTGCATAGGTATACAAATCTATGCATGTGATAAAATGTCATGGAATTAAAGTCAAAGACATACAAAAGAAGGGGTATATGCAAAAAAATATGGTGAAATCAGTAAGGTCTGAAGTCGAGTTAATCCTATAGTGCCATTGCTTTCCTGGTGTTCCTAGGGCACTACAGTCTTGTAAGCTGTCACCAGCGGGGAGGCTAGGTGATGGGTACACGGACCTTTCTGTGCTATTCTTCTCTTTAAAATAATTTTATTAAATTTATTGGGGTGAAATTGGTTAATGAAAGTGTACAGGTTTCAGGTGTACCACTCTATAATAAGTCATCGGTACACCGTATTGTGTTTACTACCCAAAGTCAAGTCTCCTTTCATCACCATTTATCCCCTCTTCACTCTCTTCTACCTGCCGCCAGCCTCCTTTCCCTCTGCTAACCGCCACACTGTTGTACACGTCTATGAGGGTTTTAAAGCAAATTTTTAAAAAGATTTTTATTTATTTATTTTTAGAGAGGAGAAGGGAGGGAGAAAGAGAAACATCAATGTGTGGTTACATCTTTCACGCCCCCTGCTGGGGACCTGGCTGCAACCCAGGCACGTGACCCACACTGGGAATCAAACGGGCGACCCTTTGGTTCGCCCGCCGGTGCTCAATCCACTGAGCCACAGCAGCCAGGGCAGAGTTTTTTTCTTAATCCCTTCACTTTTTCACCTAACACCCCTCCCCTCTAACAGCTGTTAGTCTGTTCTATCTCTGAGTCTGTTTCCATTTTGTTTGCTAGTTTATTTTCTTCATTAGATTCCACATATTGGTGAAATCATGTGGTCTGGCTGGCTTATTTCACTTAACATAATACTCTCCAGGTCTTCCATGTTGTAGCAAAAGGTAGAATTTTCTTCATTTTTACAGCCGAGTAGCATTCCATTGTGTAAATGTACCACAGCTTTTTTATCCACTCATCTACTAATGGGCACTTGGGCTGCTTCCAATCTTGACTATTGTAAATAGCGCTGCTATGAACATAGGGATGTGTATAGTCTTTTGAATCAATGTTTTGGGTTTCTTTGGAAATATACCCAGAAATGGAATTGCTGGGTTATAAGGCAGTTCCATTTTTAATTTTTTTGAGGAAACTGCGTACTGTTTTCCACAATGGCTGCACCAATCTGCATTCCCACCAACAATGTACCTGGGTTCTCTTTTCTCCATGACCTCACCAGCACTTGTTGGGTTTTTTTATTTATTGCTGATGGCCATTCTGACAAGTGCAAGGTGATATCTCATGGTGGTTTTAATTTGCATTTCTCTGATGATGAGTGACATTGAGCATCTTTTCATATGTCTATTGGCCATCTGTACATCCTCTTTGGAGAAGTGTCTATTCAGGTCATTTGCCCAATTTTTAATTGGATCATTTGGTTTTTTTTTTTTGGTATTGATTTGTATAAGTTCTTTATAAATTTTGGATAGTAATCTTTTATCAGATGTATCATTGGTTAATATGTTCTCCCACTCAGTGGGTTTTCTTTTCATTTTGTTGATTTCTTCTGTTGTGCAAAAATTTTTAGTCTCATGTAGTCCTATTTGTTTATTTTTCTCTTATTTCCCTTGCCTGAGGACCTATATCAGAAAAAATATCACTACAAGAAATGTCTGAGATTTTACTACCTATGTTTTCTTCTAGGATTTTTATGATTTAGAGTCTTATATTTAAGTCCTTAATCCATTTTGAGTTTATCCTTGTATATGGTATAAGAAGTCAATCTAATTTCATTTGTTTGCACGTAGCTGTCCAATTTTCCCAACACCATTTATTGAATAGACTGTCTTTACACCATTATATGTTCTTGCCTCCTTTGTCAAGTATTAATTGATCATAAAGGCATGAGTTTATTTTTGGGTTCCATTCTGTTCCATTGATCTGTCTGTTTTTATGCCAGTACCATGCTGTTTTGATTAGTATCACCTTGTAGCATAGTTTAAAACCAGGTAGCGTGAGTCATCCAACTTTGTTCTTCTTTCTCAAGATTTCTGTGGTTATTTGGGGTCTTTGTGGTTCCACATACATTTTTGGAATATTTGTTACTGTTCTGTGAAATACATCATTGATATCTTGCTAGAAATTGTGTTGAATCTATAGATTGCTTTGGATAGTATGGATATTTTAATGATGTTCATTTTTCCTATCCATGAACACCGTATATGCTTCCACTTATTTGTTTCTCCTTCAGTTTCTTTCTTCAGTGTCTTATAATTATCCAAGTTCAGGTCTTTTACATCCTTGGTTAAATTTATTCTTAAGTATTTTATTTTGATGCAATGTGATTGTTTTCTTAGTTTCCTTTTCTTTCTTTTCTTTAAAAGACTTTATTTATTTTTAGAGAGAGGGGAAGGGAGTGAAAGAGAGGAAAAGAAACATCGATTGGCTGCTTCTTGCATATCTCCAACCAGGGACCTGGCCCCGCAACCCAGGCACGTGCCCTGACCGGGAATGAAACTGGTGACCTTTCAGTTTGCAAGACAATGCCCAGCCCACTGAGCCACACTAGTCAGGGCTCTTAGTTTCCCTTTCTGATAGTTCATTATTGGTATATAAAAGTGAAACTGATTTATAGATATTTATTTTGTATCCTGTTACTTTACTGAGTTCACTGGTCAGTTCTAGTATTTTTTTGGTGGGCCCTTTAAGGTTCTCTAAATACAGTATCATGTCATCTGCTACGTGAGTCCTTATGAGTCAATAATTGCTTCACAATAAAAAGTTTATGGAAAGGCCATGGTTGGTGTGGCTCAGTTGGTTGAGTTCCGGCTTGCAAACCGAAAGGTCGCTGGTTCCACTCCTACTCAGAGCACTTGCCTGGCCTGGGGCCAGGTCCCCATTTGGGGGCGTGTAAACAGCAACCGGATCAATGTTTCTCTCCTTCTCTTTCTTCCTCCCTTCTTCTCTCCCTCCCTCCCTCTCTCTCTCTCTCTCTAATTTTTTATATATATAAAAATTTTTTAAAAACTTTATGGAAAGAAGAAAATACAGTGGCTATATCATCCATTTGCACATCTCTGTTTAGTGGCTCCTGGTGGGCCACAGATGGTGAAGTCCATAAAAGGAAATCTGCCAACTTCCTCCATAAGCCAAACCCTCTTTTGAGGCTGGTGACAGAAGACTATCCCCAAGGGGTGGGCTGGGACAGGGGACTGGATATCATAGCCCCAATTCCACCTGGCAGAACCTCCTCCTTTGGTAGTCCCAGTGAGTATTCTCCTGTACTGGTCTGAGGGGGGCGCCCATCCATCTCTGGTGTTCTGGTGCCAAATGGACAAAGCGCCCCACCTTTAGCACTACTGGGACTCAGGTCAAAGTCTTGAAAACAGGCTGCCCTGGAGCTTTGGGCGATAGTCACAGGCTCATGTGCTGCTCTGCCCACCAGGTGTTCTGGCTACACCCATGGGTCTCCTCCAGACACTTGTGCCTCTGGCCCCCACGGTCTCACCACAGAGGCGGTCTCACCCCAGGATCCAGGACTGTCCTCGGGCCTGAGGAATGAAGACCACCGGGGGGGGGGGGATGTACATTGCACTTGTCTCCTTTCATCGTCCTAAGAGGTCTCTGAGGTAAGTGTGAATGTCCTAACACTGAGTGGACACTTCCCAGGATGTCCCTGCCCAGTGGGTGCCACAGGGCCCCATTTACTGTGGTACACAAGGCCCTGCACACTCTGTCCCCTTCTGGCCTTTCCCGTGTCCTCTCACACCCATGACCACTGGATTTCTGGGTTCTAATCAAAATGGTCTTAGATTTTGCTCTTCCCACAAATCTTCCTGCCTCAGAGCCTTTGTGCATGCTGCTCCCTCTGACCGTACACTCTTCCCTTAATTCCTCGCCGTGTTAACTCCTCTTCATTCTTTAGTGCTTGGCTCACATGTGGCTTGTGGAGAGGCATCTCAGGTCCCTGTGGGACAGCCATACTTCAGTGTCCCAGCTTCACAGGGTCCTGTGCTTTTTCCTAGCTCTTATATAAACCTAGTTAATCAAGTAATCAGGTGTTTAACGTATGTCCAGTTCTGAACCTTAGACCTGGATGAGCGGGACCGCTGCCCTGCCGTGGGTCCTGCCACTTGACTTCTCTGTGCCTCTCTCCCCAGGAAGAGGAAACGGGGGCTCTCTTAGAGTCCAGGCCCTTTCCTTTAGACCACACTCCTGATATGTGGTATCCCAGAATCCCCCGCCCCAGTGGCCCTTGGCCCATCGCCCCGGGAGTGGGCCATGTGAAGCGGTCAAGGGGAAGCAGCTTGCAGGGGGTATGGCTGTTTGCACTCCCGGACTGGAGTGTCCGCACCTGCACACAGGAACTCCTTTGGGCGGGATAGATCTGCAGGTGGGAGGCACGGGCGGCAGGCTGAGAGCAGAGCGCCAGCGCTCTCATTCCGCCCCATGTGGGCATGGAATTTGGGAGCCTTGACGTTTACTTCAGAGCCTGGCCTTCCAGGTTGGTACGAAAGTATACTTGTCAAAGTAGGAGAATGGAACATATTTTATTAGACAGCTGTTATCTTGATTTATAACTTTACAGTATTTCGATGTGTGTGGCCTCCGTTTGTACTTCTGCCCAAGCCCCACTGGCATTCGGGGTGGGCTTGGGTCAGCCTCACCCCCCGACCATACGCTCCACCAGGGAGGCAGCATGCAGTACCCCTGCCCCAGAGCACAGTGCCTGGCACAGAAGAGCAGGTAATAAATATTGGCTGTGAGAAACAAACAGGATAATCCAAGTAGAACGCTTGGTGTGGTAAAAATGTCAATAAATATTAACTATTATTGCTAGTCGAATAAATGGACAGGGTGGGTGAGGCAGGGGGCCGAGACCCATAAACTGAGGTGGTTTGTGTATGAGGGAAGGGGGGCTGCTGACCCCAGGGTCCACACTTCCTTTACTGAGGTTGCGTGCTCCTTCCTCCCAGCCTGCAGGCCACTCCCAGGTCTGCACAGCAAGTGGGCACCTGGTTGTCATACTTGACAACCAGGTACTGAGTGGGTTCTCTCTTCACCTTCAGGTACCTGCCCAGGCCCAGAGAGAACCCACCCAGCTCAGTTTGTTTTTTTCTTTGTTCTACCTATAAGCCCATGCATGGTTGAGGGGTAACTGATAGGATCAGTTTTACCCTCCCACCAGACTGTGCTCTGCTGTAAGAGGAGCTTGAGGTGGAAGTCAGGTCAAATGCTGGACTCTGAAAAAGTCCCTTTGCCTCTGCAGGCCTCAGTTTTCTCATCTGCAAAATGGGATTTTGTGTGGAAATGGTGCATGTCAGGTGGCAGGTGCCAGGTACACATTTAGTGAATAGGAAGAACCCTTGCACAGAACACAAGTGGGTCAAGGAGGGCAGCATCCCAGAACCCCAAACAGGAAAGCAGCCCCAAACAGTGAGAGGGCTGGGCAGCAGTGCATTCGTGGGGCCCGAGGGAGGCAGGTTCAGCTCCCTGTGCTGGAGGCTCGCAGCAGGGGCGTTGCTTCAGGATGGGCACAGTGCCGGTCCACAGGGTCTCTCTGTTAAGGCCTCAGGCCTGAAGAAGCCAGGAAGCCCCTATCCCAAATTTCTCTCCCCAGCCTGGGGCTTGGGCCATCCCAGAAAACAGCCTTCACCTCCGCCCCCACATTCTCGCACACGCACAGTAGGTGGCGCTGTAATAAAGAACAGAACCCAACTAACCCCAAAACAGGAGAGGTGAGAGGGAAAAATCAGTTTGTGACCTTCCCACCAAGGGTCGCCATACCCTCAGAACCGAGGGGTGCAGAATTCCCAGCGGCCTGTGGACCGGCGGGAGGATGAAGGTCTCCGAAGTCGAGTCCAGCCGCGTGGCAGGACCAGCGAGGGCAGGCACAGTCCCAGGCCCGCAGGGCCAACCGCGGGGTCAGTGCGGTGGGAAGATCTCTGAGCACTGCTGCAGGATGAGTTCCACCACCTGGTTCTGGAACACCATGGTCATGGGCATACTGGCTTCCTCTGTCTCGGGCCGCAGCAGCGTGGGCCCGAAGACGATGGCCACGCTCTGCACGGACATGCGGTTCTGTTCGCCGTGCTCAATCACCCTGCAGCGGGGTAGGGTGGAATGGAGTGGAATCGGGGCTCAGAGCAGCGGGGGCTGGAGGGGCGGGTCCGCCAGAGCCGCCCTCCCATTCCCGCGGCCTGCGCGCGCTCACCGGCAGAGGTGCTGGAAGAGGAGGCGCAGTGTGTCGTGGTTGGGGGCGGGCAGCGAGCGCACCAGGTCACGCACGCAGCGGCTGCGCTGGGCCTGGTCCTGCAGCTCTGGGGAGGAGGAGGGTGGGCTCGGCGAGGGGAACGAGTAGGCTAACGCCCAGTGTGCGTGTGGGTCCTGCCCATCCCCACCCCCCACCTCCCCGGGCACTCACTGATGGCCGCGATGAACTGGCGGAAGTGCGAGAAGGGGAAGAGGGGCTCGGGCAGCTCTCGGAAGAAGAGCTTCAGGGCGCCGGTGATAACGTGAACGTCCTCCCAGCGACCGTCGTCCAGGTCGAGACGCTCATCTGCGGCGGGGGCGGGGGCGGGGGCGGGGGAGGGAGGAAGAGGTGGTCAGCACCCCCTCATGCCTTCAGGGCCTGGGGCAGGAGCTGGGAACCATCCTCACCGTGGTCCACCCTATAACGCAACTTCTGGATAGTCGCCAGGTTTCCACTGATGCGGTACAGCCCGTCGATGTCCAGTCCTGAAGAAAAGGGAGGCGCTGACACCGGCTTTGGTGGGACTGGGCTAAAGTCCCTGCTACGATTCCTACTCAGGAGCCCCCAGCCTTTTCCTTTCGCCCCCGCGCCCACCCAGGGGCCTCCCTTACAGGGTCGGTCCTGGAAGGAGGCTGCCAGGCGCCCAGGATGCCCGCCCAGCCCGCCGCGTACGTACCCCGGGCCTCGACTGTGCGGATGCACTGCTGCACGAAGCGCGGCACCGGGCTCCGCTCGCGCTCACACAGCGTGGCCAGCGCGCAGCCGAATACCTGGTCTAGGGGACAGGCTCGTGAGCCGGCGCCGCGCTCCCCTAGCCCACCCGCGCTGCCCCGCCGCCCGGGTCCCTGCGGTACCTTTGATGTAGCCCTTTTCCCGCAGCGACTGCAGGGTAGGCCGCTTGAGCAGGAGCTTGCGGAGCTTGGCCCGGACCTTGCTCAAATCGCTGTCTTGGCCCCCAGGGCTCAGGGCAGGCGCAGCTGCCGCAGGGAATGCAGGGGCGAGTCAGTCGGTGGCGCCCGGGTGGCCCAGCAGGCCCCAGCCGGTTGTCGTGCCCCTCCCGCAAAAGATGCCCCCCACCCTCCCACCCCTCCATCCCGCGCACACCTGCTCCCGGCCGCGCCTCATCCTCCCGCCAGCTTCCCAGGCGCTCCCTGGACCCGAAGTCCAAGCTGCTGTTCTCGCTTTCCTCCTCCGGGGGCAGGTCTGCGGACTAGAATCGCAGGGCCTCAGAAGCAGAGCCTCCGGCCATCGGGGGTCCTTCTAGGGGAGGGGAGGGGCCCGAGGGCCCTCCCAGCAGGCCTGGCGGCCCCGGACCCCGCGGAGTTCACTCTTCCCTTAACTCGGTTCACTCCCCTCACCTGCAGCAGGGAACCTCAGAGCCTTAGCCCTCCTCAGCTGCAGGGCGCTCTCCAGGTGCAGGGAGACGTCATCCTGCTCAGCCCTACCCGGCTCCCGGTTCCTGTCCCCCTCTTTCCACATTTTCCTCAGCAACCCTGCACACCCCCCACTAGGCCAGCATTCCCCACTGCGTGGCTCCCAGTTCTGAGCTTGCAGTTCCAGCTGGGGCTGGAGCCAACAACTCCCTGGATCTGGATTCCTGCCCCTGGTAACAGAGCCAAATGTTGCGCCCAGCGTGGGGTCCTAGGGCCCGTGGGAGTCAGAAAGGCCCAGGTGGTTTCCAGGTGAAGAGCTGCCAGAGGGGGGCTGTCCCATCTCTACATCTGCAATGGATATTTTGAACCTAAAAAATGGTAGGGTCTTCACTGCCACCCTTTAAAATGTTATCTTCTAGCTTCAGCCTGTCATTCCAGCCTGAAGCTATTTCTCAGATATTTTCTTTTTCTTCCGTCTCCCTTGAAATGGGATTTCCCTCCGGGATGTGCCTCCAGCCCTACCTGGAGAGCCCTCCTGCAGGCTGGCTCCCCTGCTTACAAAGGCTGTTTCCTCAGCAGCCCTCCTGCCATCCAGCCATAAGCAGGGGCAGGGGAAGGGGCTGCATCTGCAGGGAGGGGCATTACCCACTGGTGCCATGGGGCTCCCAGAGCCTGAGTAGAGGACCCCACCCACAGTGGGCACAGCTGCCCTGCATAATGGCTGGCCATCCCCTCCCCACCAGCCCTGGAGGCCGCAGGCTCCGCCTACCAGTTCCTGGATACCCTGGGCAATGGCCTTGTGCCAGGTGCTGATGATGGCCTCCGAGTCGTGCTGGATCAGGTACTCTGAGCCATCTCGGCTCCGCAGCTGGAGAGACACAGGTCACTCAGTCATCTCTGGTTCCCTGGGTCTGTTCCTGTCCCCAGGAACTCTGAGCTAATGGAGTGAGGGCCTCACCCCAGGCCAAGGCATTCCGCCTCATTAAAAGCAGTAGGTGACAGCATCTCTGTGTTACAGATACCCAAATGAAGGCTCAGCTGTTTTCTTGTAGACGCCCGGTTTGCGGCTGATAGGGGAGGGGTTGCTCCGGAGCAGACCAGCATGGCTCACTTGTCTAGCACACTTTCCCCGGCCCCATCCCACCTCCCCAGGAGCCACGGAACAGGGCAGGCCTCGCCCAGAGCACTGGCCAGCAAGAGTCAGTGACAGAAAATCCCTGTGGAGGCCTCGGTCACTAGAATCAGGAATGAAGGAAGTGCTGGGAGAAAGCCCCTAAAAGCAGATCAAGGCTGATCTCGGAGAGAGAAGCATCCCCTCCCCCAATACACACACTGGGGACCTGGCAGTGTTGTCCCCCTTTCGAAGCCAACAGTCCAACCCTGTCCCACCCCCACCCTGGGTAACACATCCCTTTATAGCCCACTTCATCAAGGAGAGTAATTACTCATCAAGAAGAGCAATTGCCGGGGGAGAGGAGGGTAGGAGAGAGGTGGGGGGAGAGAAATGGTGATGGAAGGAGACTTGACTTGGGGTGATGAACCCACAATACAGTGTACAAATGATGTGTTGTGGAACTGTGTTCTTGAAACTTGTATAATTTCGTTACCCAGCGTGTCACCCCAATACATTCAATAAAAAAAAAAAGAAAACAAAACAAAAAAACAACAACATGCTTGAGGGGAAAGTGTTCTGACTACTCAAAGCTCTTTCTGACCAGCAGGCTGGGGGTAGCAACCCACTTACTCTTATTCACTCCAAGGAAACACACACACACGGCTTGGAGAGGCCTGTGAGCTGGAGGAAGCGTTGCCCTGCAGGTCTGCTGGGGGCTCCTTCCTGACCGCAGGCCGTACTCTTCCTCAACGGGCCCCGAAGGCTGGATTTCCAAAGCCACTATTTTATACTATTGAGGACTAAGCAGATGTCCACGGCCCAGGCTGTCCTTCAAACCGACTGCCGTTGAGTGTCCTTATTCCCTAACAAATCCCCAAAGAACAGGGCGAGGCAGTCGGCAACTTGAACAGATCTCTCATCAGCCTGCGGCTCTGAGGACCAAGCGTTCAAGGTTAAGGTGAATGTTTGCTTTCAGCAGCTCATGCCAACCCTGCCCTGGGGGTCCAATGAGAGTTGGAGTCAGCGGACACTGTCTCAGACAACAGGGTACCACTTCCAGAATCAGAAAAGGCTATGTTTTGGCTGCCCGCCTGAAAACCTTAGACAGAATGCTATTTAAATAATTTTTAAAAATTAAAAAAAAAAGAAGATCTGCATGCTCCAGCCCACCACCATCCCCTCAAAGACTAGAGAGCCTTCAGCAGGCAGCTAGCATAGCCCCGCGCTGGGCTGACAGCGCCCTGCCTGTTATCCCAGAGAACGGTCTAACAACGCTTCTAGAACAACCGTTGTTTTGGGCAGCGTTCTGAAAACATAATCAGTTCATATTTGACAGTTTCATTCATAAGGCAACGCTGCATAATTACGTAGCACTGTTAAACGGACAGGCCAGCAGAGTTGCCTCAAACCAGCTGTTTTTGGAAGACGGTGATTCAAGCTTTCTGTGGCTCTGGGGTGACTGAGAGGAGCTGCTGTGTAATTTCGCCACGCCCAACTACCTCACCACAATGTAGAATGGCGGGCGGGGGCAGGGGAGGGGGGAGGGCGGGGTGTTTCTTGAGAAAAGTCCTGGAGTTGCCTACAGGCCAGCCCTGAGTGGAGAGAGGACGGCCACCTGCCCACCGGGAAGCAGGGGGCTCCTCGACTTCCACTCAAGACGGCCAGTCTTCCCTCAGCTTGAGTAGCTTCCAAGAGTGCCATCTGCCTTCCATCCTTGCCAGAAATGACAACTTGGAAGTGTTTACTCTGAAAATCGCACCAAAACCCTGCCGGAGAGGTGACATTTATAGAGCACTAATTGAAGGATGTCTCTCTGGGTCAGGGAAGGAACATGCCTAGCAAAAGTGATGTCCTTCCTCCATTTCACACCTGTGGCAAATAGTTGATCACCGCATTCTACCCTGCTAAGCCTGCCGAAGATTCCAGACCTACTGATCAGAGTGGCTCATGATCGGAAACCAGTTCTCCAGACCTGCTCTGTGGATACTCTGCACCAAACAAAGCTTGGTGAGTCACCAGCAAACTACACCCTCGAGCTCCTTGCAGAGTTACCTTTCCAGCGCTGAGATGTAAGGTCATGCTTTTGGCTTTCATAATGTTACCTGAAGCAGGCCCAACAGTCCCTTACTAAACCAGAATGGAGCTGCACACTAAACATTTCTTCAAGAGCTAAGGGTTAGAAAAAAGCTTTGATTTCCCTCAAAAGCTGGGAAAGCTCCCTCCCGCCCCACAATGAGTAATAGGAGCCATGTAACTAACCGATCGTCATTCTCTTTTTGCTTTGGGGAAACCCGGAGCTCCCTTTTTGTCAACAGCAATAACCTTAGCACCTGCCCTTCATCTGCCCCCTCATCCCTCTCCACTAACTCGTCCCTCTTCTCTAACTCGTTTTGCCTGGTCCTCCCTTCGCAGTAGATCTTACCAGCTCACCATACGTGTTTTTGTTGTGAGCTGTCTCAAAGCTTTAGGAGATGGAGGCGAGAGTAAAAGTAGTTTGAAATAAGACAACACCAGGGGAGCGAAGGGCGTGACACTGTGAGGGTCCTTGCCTGGACCCCACCTGGACCCTCTCCTCCTGCCGGGGGAGACTGAGGAAGTGCCCACTGCCCTGGTTTATTCAGGGAACACAGCCCAGCTGGAAGCCGAGCTCGACCCAGCTGCACATTTCCCCGGCCTGTCAGTAAGTGGCTAGGGGTGTGGCGCCTGCTGTGTGTCTCAGGCCAGAGCAGCTGGGCTGAGGGCTGCCTTTCGAGTCATGGCAGAATTTTGTCCCCCAGGCACTCTTACTTCTCATCACCTTCCAGGGCCAAGGACTGGTGAATTCAGCTCCTGGAGAGGAAATGGCAGAGCCCGTAGTGCCGGAGATACCGTGCATGGATTGCTAAGGGGGAGGCAACTTTGGCCTTGAGCCTGAGAATTCCAGCCCCAACTCTCCCGCCGTGCCCCTGCTTGGGGCTTGCCTAGGCTGAGTCCTAAGCCATCAGTAAGCCCCCTCTCACTCTCCCTACCCCCACAACTCACCTCCAGCACATTCTTCTTGCTGGATTTGTCTTTGGGAGCCCAGGAGAGAGAGGCCCCCTTTAGCTCCACCGTGTACTCGGGCGTAGAAAGCTTGGAAGGCTGCCTCTGTGGGAGAGAAAGGAGGTGTGAGGGGGGCCCTCAGCTCAGACAGACCTGCCTCAGCGCCCTGGCTCCCACCCACCAGCCTCTCTCGGCTCTAGGGACGGGATGGGGACACAAGGTCTAGAGGAAGTGGGCCCAGGGATTCCCGGAACCCAGGGGTCCTGGTACTTTTTAACCACAGAGCCTGCGGGCTGGCGGGCCCTGTGCTGCCTGCCTGCACAGGGGAGGCAAGGAGAAGGGTGAGCAGCTCCCACTCCTGCAGGCAGGGCGCCCAGTCCCCAGCTGCCTGCCCGCCAGGCTGGAGCTGTCTGCCCGCGGGGTGGGCGGTGAACCTGCTGTTGTCACCCCCTGCCAAAGGTCCGGCCTCCTGGACATCCATGTTCCAGTGTCTCAGACCTGGTCTCTGACAGAGCAAACCAGGTAGAGACAGGAGTCAGGAGCAGATGGGGCGACCCCTGCCTGGGGGGTCTGGGCCTCACCAGGCCAACTGCAGTTGAGGACTTTGAGTCCTTGAAGAATGTCAGGACGCCGCCTTCCAGCACTGTCCAGGAGGCGCTCCAGTGCTTCTTCCTAGGGGGGGGGGGGCGCAAGTGGGGGGCAGGGCTTGGATGTGGCCCTGGGCTGGGGCCCCCTTCCCACCCCCAGGAGCAGGGCACAGGGCTTAACAACACCGCTTGGGACACCCAGCCCTTGGAGGCGGACCCCCATTGTCTCTCCGTGCCTCAGTGTCCGCAAAGGACCTCTCGTAAAGTTGCTAGGAGGATTAGCAGAGCCTGGCACAGCGGAAGTACTCGGTGAAGGTTGGCACGAAGGCCCGCCCCACCCCACTGTGGGTGTGGGTGGGCTCTCACCGAACCCGCTTTCCCTTGTCCGCTGTCTTGGTACGATGGAGCACGCCCGCCTTGTCCAGGGTCTTGATCTTAGAGAGAGAAGCAGAAAGAGGAAGCAGTTAAAGGGGTGAGGCATGGTGGGCAGATGCCGGTCGCCCCCTCAGCCAGCAATGCCCCACAGGCCGGGCCTGGATCCCCACCGAACCCTCTGTGCTGCTGGAGGCGGAGGGGGGCCGGCTCTCACAGCAGCAGCAGCGGGAGAGATTCCCCCCCAGCTCCTCGCCTCACCCAACTCTGGGCCTGCGATGACCCAAACCCAGGTTCATTCAGCCCAGGCTAGTGCTGGGGCCTGTGGGGGAGACATGCCTGGCCCAGTTCGAGACCCCGGCACCTCCAGAACTCCCTTATTTCTTCTGTAAGGTCCTACCCAGCCTCCACGCCCCTTTCCTTACTTTCTCCTCGGGAGGGCTGGCCTGGGCTGGGGTCTCACTGTCCGGGTTGGATTTCAGGATGCTTCGAGGGGCAGGAATTGGGACCTGGGGAGAAGGGCACTGTCAAACAGAATCCTCTCCTCTCTCCCCAGGGCTCTCCCTTCCCCAGTTGGTTACCTGGGGCAGATCCCACTGAACAGAGTCGTTATTTGGGTTGTAGAAATAGGGCTTCCCATGTTGGTCCTCCAGCCTCACCCACTGCGGGGAGAGGGAAGGTCAGGGCTGCCAGCTGGCTTCGTGGAAGGGGAGGGAAAGGTTCCCCCTAACGAGAGCCCACCATAGACCCAAGGAGTCTGGAGGGACAGGTGCAGGTGACTGAGTATCATGGGCTGGCTCGAGCCGGAGCAGGAGCTGCAATCTGGTGTTAAGGGGAGCTAGTAGTGAGGAAAAAAGGGTTGGGGGCGTGTCCCCGAGGCCGTCTGGGCCACCTGGCCATTGCCCTTACCTGCTCTTGCGTGAAGTGGTTGGTGTAGACCGTCTGCCCTTCTGGGTTCACATGGCAAGACCAGCCCGGGGGCGTGGCCAAGGGAGAGGCAGGCCCAGGCTCACTGAAGGAGCCCGAAGGGGAATAGTCCTCCTCTGGGTAACTGGTCGGTATCTCAGGGTAGTCCGTCTCCGGGGTGGGAGGCTGAAGGGAGCAGAAGGCTGGGTCAGAGGCCCTGCGGGCCAGCCCCACCCACTGCGGGCCAGGCCCCGCCCCTTCGGGCGCGGCCCCGCCCCTCACCCTCTGGTTCTTGGGGCTGCCGGGGCTCAGGCCGGGCTGCATCTTCAGCTCGTCCTCGTCGTCTTCGGTCTCGTCCTCCCAGACCGTGTCGCCGGTCAACGGGTTGTAGAAGAAGACCCTGCGGCTCTCCTCATCCCAGTACTGGCCCCACTCGGTCTCGAGGCTCTCGCGGCTGCCCACCGAGGATGGGGAGGTGGCCGGGCTGGCGGCGCCTTCGGCGGCCTCGAAAGGCGATTCCCAGGTCGTCACGCCCGTGTCTGGGTTGTAGTAGTAGGGCCGCCCGGTGTCCGCGTCCGTGTGCGTCTCCCACACCGGGCCGGGGCGGGGAGCCGCAGGGGCGCCCGGTGAGGTGGCCGGAGGCTGTCTCTCTACGTTCGCGTACACGGGCTCAGGGGCTTCATCCCCCTGCGCGGGAAGGAAGGACACGGGTCAGCGTCGGGGTCACACAGTCCCGACTAGGCCGCTTGCCATCTGAGTGACCTTTAGCAAGTCATGTACTTTGCTGCCTCAGTTCCCCAGCTGCAAAACATCTGCTTGCCAGCTGCGGAAATTGTAGTGAAGAAAGAATGAGGAAGTGTTCTTGAAAGTGCTTTGCAACGTATGAAATGCCCCAGAGGCGTGGGACAATTACACGAATTATCAATAAAATACTGATAATGGAATTCTCCCAGCTGCGCACTCACGGGGCTGACGCAAATGGTGGGCAGGAGCAGAGAAATGGCCGGGCGTGGTTTGAGAAACGCACACCTTAAAGCACAGCTTCTGACACCTGTTTGAGTTCAAGGACACATCTTTTTCTTTTCTATCTTTCAACAGAAAATTTTAATTGTACTTATTCATAAAACAATTTAAAAACCTATTCACATCCTTTGATGAAATCATTTGACTATATTAGTTTAAACCCTTTTCTGATTTTTATCCACTGATTAATGAATTTCACACCCCTTTCTCTACAGTGTTTCCTATTTTCATACATACTTATGTTCTGACTTTTTCACTTTTAATTGTTTTTTACACATTTTCCAAGGTAGCTGCAGTTGCCTTAACTTTTCCCCCGTCCCCATTCGCCCGGGTCCAGGCCCCGCCTGCAGCATCCGGCAGTCCCCCCTTCCTTCCTGGCGGGGAAATCTCTGCGGCCAGAATTGGCACTGCCTCTGGATTTGGGGCGAGAACTTCCTGGATGTGGTGTTTTCAGGCCTCTGAGCCAACTCCACACAAGGGAAAGAGAGGAGAGCCAGATGGAAGGGAGGAAGAAGGGCAAAGAAAGGTGAACCCTCCCCCGCCCACGAACCCCGACCCCCTGCCCCAAAGTGGAGTGAGGTGGGGTGCAGGATTCAGTCGCACAGAATATAAGCCTGGTTATGCTTAACACCCTCAAGGCTCCCTGCAGCGTTCAGGGCAAAGTCCAAGGAGCTTTAACAGGGCACCAGGGGCCGCCTATCACCTGCCTGTCTTTCACCTTATTTCCTGCCACTCCTTGCCCCTGAACTTGAACTTTAAGCTACAGTAGCACTGCCCCCCCCACCCCCACCCCGCCGCTCTCTGCTGTGTGTCTGACAGGCCTCAGCTCCTTCACAGCCTGTCCTGGCCCATCCCCACCCCTTTCTCACCTGGCTGACTCCTAGTCCTTTTTTAAGACTCAGCTCAAGTGTCACGTTCAAGGCCTTTCCAAAGATTTCTCCTGTGTGCCAAGCATAGCCTTGCACCCTCAGCCCACCAGAGGGATAGATATCAAACCTCAGGCAGCGGACTAGCACAAGGAGATTAATACTGTGTCTTAAGAATATAGAATGTGCCCTGGCTGGTGTCACTCAGTGTATCGAGCGCCAGCCTGTGAACCAAAAGGTCGCTGGGTCAATTCCCGGTCAGGGCACAGGGCACATGTCTGGGTTGCAGGCCAGGTCCCCAGTTGGGGGCACGTGAGAAGCAACTGATGGATGTATCTCTAACACACTGATGTTTTCCTCTCTTTCTCCCTCCTTTGCACTCTCTCAAAAAAAAATAAATAAATAAAATCTTTTTTAAAAAAAAGAATATAGAATGCTACAAAGAAAAAAAATGATTTCAAGATGGTAAACTCAGCCTAATTCCAATTGTTTTTAGAAACCCTCCAAAATGCTAATCAATGGAGACCATCGACGGGCAGTTGTAATTGCATGGATTGGGCTTATTTGCTTTAGTTTTTTTCCTTTAAGCTTTTCTGCAGCCTCAACACTTTGTACAATAAGCTTTTTTTTTAAATCACAGAATTTTCTCTGTTGCTGCGACACCTCCACTACGCTGTAAACTCCCCAGGAGGGGAAGCATGTCCTGCTCATGGTGGCCCTTCCCTGAGCCGTAGGAAGACACCTATAAAAATACTCATTTGTTCAGCAGATTCGCCTGCTCTGCACCAGGCACTGGTTTAGGCACGGGAATGGGGCAGTGAAGAAATGGACGTGAGGCCATGGCCAGGTAGCTGTTTGTTAGTGTCATCTTGATATGCCAAGGTTACAGGTTCGATCCCCAATCAGGCACATACAAGGAACAACCAATGCACGCATGGAAAGGGGGAACAACAAAGCGACATTTCTCTCTCTCTAAAAAATAAATAAGTAAATAGGCAAATAAGCAACTAAATAAATAAGAAGAAATGGACAGGACCCCCTCCCTGCCCTGGCAGCCTGCACCCTTGTGCAAATGGTGGGGGGTGGGGAAGAAGCAGGGTGATAAGTGACGAGCACAGGAGGCCAATGCGGACTGCTGCTAACAAAACAAAAGCCCTGCCAGCCAGGGGGTGTGGCAGCCTCGCCCAGGCCTGTAAGGCAGGTCCCAGGCACGCAGCGGGCGGGAAGAGCTGGCACACCAGCCCTTCAGTTCCTCGCTCCTCTCCCTGACCTCACAAGCTCCCATGTGGCTCAGACAACCCTCAATCCCACTTCTCCTTTCTCTCCACCCACGACCGCACTCCTGCGGCACCGTGTGTTCCAGCCACATCAGCCCCCAAACACACAGGCCTGTGCCTACATCCACGCCTTTGCCCCAGGCATGCCCTCAGCCCGGGGCTCCTTACTCTCACTCTCTGCCTGCCACATCCCGCTCTGCCGCTGGAGCTCGGCCCGCAGGCCTCAGCTGGGCAAGGCCTTCTCCCTCCAGAGAAAAGTCTAACCTGAAAGGACAAAGCCAGCCCCATGTGCTGTTGTGGCATCATTTGCCGAGCAGGCCTGTGACCTTGTTAAACCAGGACTGCCACTTTACTCTTCTGAGCTTATGTCCCCAGGACTGGAAAGTACTGGAAAGCAAGAACAGAACTAGCCGCTCTGTACAGCCACAGGCAGAGGATGACGTTGATCGAACTGCGGCCTCGAGTTTCGCCTCAACAGCCCCCACCTCTTTTTGAATCCAAATGTAACCCAATAAAAGCCCAAAACCCCCACCCCTCAAGACTGGTGTATCCCTCCACACCATGCCCCTCTCCTTTCTTGGGAAGTGAATAAAAACTTTATTCTCTACACTTTCTTCTCTTTGTGAATTCTTTTACAGCCCACGTCACCAACCACCTTAAGGTAACCCGCTGTCCCCTTGTCTGTTAGGGTCGGAGAGCATTCTGCCTTGGTGGTCAGCTCCCTGCCCACCCATCTGCCTACCTTCTCTGCCCCTAAAAGGCAGGAGTTTCTCGCGAGCAAGGCTCAGAATGGTACAAGTGACCCCAGTCGCCCCCAGCAGGTGGTCCAGGGCAGATCCACCACAAGCACTGACTGCTCGAGCACACAGGTCACCTCCATGGCGGATGTCAGCAACCAAAAACACACCTGACACTACAGGACAGGCTGGGGTTGGCTCTGAGCAAGGTCTTCCTGAAAATGAGGGTTCAAGCAACAGGAACAGGGGAGTCCTTGGGGTGACAGGATGGAGGCTGGAGAGGAAGGTGGGTGACCAGACACAGCTCCTCTGCACCCTGCTGGACCCACTGAGGCAGTGGCCTGGCCCATCCCTGGGCCAGGAGCGCGGGCAGTGGACTGGCCAAGGAAGGCGCCAGGCTCTCTGCAGCAGGGATTTCCACCTGGCCAGGCTGCTGGCCTTGGTCTGAGTCCACGGGGAGCCCCAGGCTGGTCAGACTGATGGGAATCTTGCACAAGGAACACTCCCAGCAGGTACAGAGAGATTTGGAAAGCAGGAGTGCAGGCCTCCAGCATGACATGGCTGCCAGGAGGAAGAGGAGATGCAGAATCACACTGTGGGGCGCCGGAGTGCAGAGTAGAGGTTAAACGGGGGCAGGACAGTTCCCCCTTGCAGGAGGCACATCCCGGGATTGGGGCCGCCCTGGGAGGTAATGAGGGGCCTCCCCGGGAGGTGAGCAAGCAGAGTCCCGCCCCCTGTGAGGGAGCTGGACCGCAGCAGCCCTGATGCCCCTTCAAACTCTAGAACCTTCCACAGAGCCCCTCATCGCTAAAACAGAGGTACCTTCCTTTGCTGGCAGAGCCTCAGCCTGGATCAGACTGGCTCCTGGAAGCCAGGTGGGGCCAGTCCCTTTACATCCTCTGGCTTTTGAGGGGGCGCTCACCCAGCTTGGAGCAGGGCCTGCCCCCCCGCCACCCCTACTCCGGAAGGCCCAGACAGGGCCCAGGCGCGGCCCACGGGCAGGGGCCTGACTAGGGCGCCAACGGCTCTCGGGGCCCAGTCCCAGTTTTGGTTGAGACACCGGGGATACCTAGTGGGAAAGAGGAAGTGCCTCCAGCAACAGGCCTGGGGACAGAGCTGAGAGGGGCCCGGCTCTCACTACACTCAGCCTCCCAGCCCCCAGCCCTACTCTTGTCTTCAGTTCCCACCCGCAAGCAGGTGGCAGGCCCACCTCCCTTCCCCCGGGGCTGCTGGTTACCTCGCAGCCTCCCTCTGCGGCCCCCTCGGTCAGGCAAGGCCTCAGAGAGGGAAAGAGCAAAGGAGGAGGGTCCCCAAACTCCGCGAGACTCCCTGCTCCGAACCCCAGATCCCCAGCTCCTGACAAGGCCAGGGGATGGAGGTCCACTGCTGGCCCCCTGACCCCACAGGCGGCTCTGCTGTCCCTATCGGAGGCCGGGTTCAGTCCCCAGTGCCAAGGTCCCCTACCTGTGCCCGCAGGGCCCGGCTCTGCCTCCTGGTCAGCTTGGCAATCACATCCACCATGCTGTCCCCTCTGAGCTGCTGGGATGCTGTCCTGGGAAGGCTTTGGGGAGGAGCCACGGGCATAGCCCCAGGGTTGGCACAGGGCAACAGGGAAACAAGAAGTTGCTTCGATGAGGCTGAGCCTCCAGCCCATTTCCTGTCAGGGCTGCGGAAGTGCTGCCGGAGACAGAGGCTGCCTGTGACAGGCTGTCAGGGGGGTTTGCCTGGGGTTTGCAACCCCCTGGGCCTGGGGGCTCGCTCAGGTCAGGGGGATTTTTGCTGCC